TTTTTTATTGAATCCTTTCAAGGAATTGACATCAAACATCACTGCAGAATCATTTGCTTCTATGACTGAACCACTGTATTATATCTAGTATTTGTAAAAACATGTTGTACATATTTGGGACTTTGACCCATTTTAAGTTAAATCAGATATTTAAGTTCTTTTACTTCAGTGTGTAGCAATGAACTATTCCGTAAATATTAAGTAAAAGTGGCTTAGTGGCTCAAATCTGGTTAGAATGCATTTAAAAGCTGGATGCATGTTGAATAAATGCAATATTTGTGTATCTGTATTTTCATTTCATTATGTATATTATATTGATTATTCCATAGGCTTTTCTAAGATTGAACATTTTTGCGTCTCCCCAATTTCTTTTTGAAATAATTAGCATGCTCAATGTCCTATTCCAGAATTCAAAAGCCATTTCACATTTGACCTGATAAAACCTTGCTTTGATCTGTCCTTAGTAAAGGCTTGTGCGATTCGTACAAAAACCCTTAGACAAGTGACAGCTGGTGCTTTGATTAATGGCCTTTGTGACAGGTCATAGCTACCAGGCAGCTCTGGGTTCCCTTGTGCGTACTGAAAGCTATCCAAAAGCTAATGAGGGTCCTGCCCTGGACAGCTCATCTGTCGCCTTCTGCTTGGGCCTGAGGCGGCCTTGACAAAGTGTAATCTGTTCTGGGGCCTGCAGGCATAAAACTGTCAACTCCCACGATTATGTGGAGAATCCATGACACCAGCTATCATAAATGAACCAGTGAGTGTGTTACATAAGGCCTCTCCCATATTTTTTTTTACTGTGCAGGGCATACTGTACAGCTCAAACATCTTGTTACAGCATTTTGCATCTGTCCACTTTGTCCGTACAACACTTGCAAAACAAGACATACCTTTCCTACCCCAGGTTTGCGATGGAGTTTGTTCCAGTTTCCATGCTTTTCCATTAACAGTCTCTCTTCTTGGAAATGTGAGTGTGCCTAATTACCACACACACAGAACTACAGTGGAAATACTGTACATTATAAAAATACATCAAAACATCTTGTTGTAAATGAAATATCTTATTGCAATCAATCACGTCAGATAGCATGTCTTGGATTTGACTGTTAAAGGGCAAATGGAATGTTAATTGCTTGCATTTTTGTTTGGTAAAATCAAAGTTAGAATATGGCAACACTTTATAATACACCTTGAACAAGAAGGGAATCTACAGTTAATAATCTAATTAAGGAAGTGTATTGAGTAGTGTTAAATAATAGCTGGTTCAACAATTGGAATAAGTAAATCTGCCATAATAGTGCTGGTAATACAGATACCAATTTAAAATATGTAGTAGTTTTAGGAAAGGTGAAAACAGAGAGTGTATAATATAAATCTGTCAAACTTTTTTAATATGACATGTGTAAAAGGAGGGTGAATTTAAGTCTTACCCTCCATATTTACTTTGCTTGAGATGTCAGCTATAATGACATTCAACCCCCAAGATTAAAAGTAGGGAATACTAGATTCTAGAAAAACTTATTAGCATCTCCATGCAAAACAAACATTGTATACTTCAGAACAGCTCTGAGAAGCTTTTTAAAAATTATAACATTTTATAAAAATTATAACATTCTGGTAAAAGAGGGTTTTATCAGAATATGTTTATCAGAATAAGTGGTTTTAACAAAAGGTAAGACTGTAACCTACATACAAATTTAGCTAATTAAAATATTCAACTTGCAAAGCTTTCACTGAAAATTCAAAGACATTTTATTTCACTTATATTTCACATAATTTCATTTATGCCTGATTCTATGTATTAAATAGCAATTCATAATGGTGTCTTCTGAATGTTTTATTTCAATGTGGATGTGATTACTGTGAAGCTGATTTTTTGTAAGTACTGTACATCTTGAAAAGTTATTGCATTAAAATTGCATTAAGGAAATATGTTATAGAAACTTTAACTAAACACTAAAACTTTTCTGTTTAGGCCAAATAACTATTTTTTATAACTGGTTTGTCTTTCTCAGTGTGTCTTCATTGGCACTTTATTTTGGTCTTGTTAGTTTTAATTGAAACATAAATACAATACTCCCACAATGCACTGGTTTTATATTGATCAAAAACAGTTTTTGAGCATTTTTGCTGTCAAAAATCTTCTGAAGATTTTGTTTTTCTTTTCTGTAGTTTTTTTGCCAGTGAACGAGGCAGATTTTAATGTTCTTATTAAAGAGGTAGCCTTTTATCTGTAACCTGAGATTCTGAATGCAGCATTTGAGTGAAACTCAAATTGCAAACCCCACAGGGCTAATTTAGTTCTTGCAAAGCTCTTAGGCCCAGTCAGGTTTTTTTATTTTATCGTTAACCTAAATATGAGAACCATTACTGTTAGTTTGTGGCCCAACAGATGCTTTCCCTCAGATTAATCCCATTGCATGTGTGGTAATTCATGGGTAAATCAGATGTTTGTCCACAAGAACAAACTGTGCAAAATTAGAACTACATAATGTAATAATAATGTACTATGTAATGTATGAGCTGCTATAAAGACATAATGACTGTAATGAAAGTGAAAGCTAATACTATAGTAATTATATGGATATCTTACAAAGAGGATTTTGAAGTGAATGTTCAGTAGTCATCAGCTGCTTGAGGCAAAGCATGACCATCACAACCTTTTAAATAGGCATGGGCAATGAAATTTTCAGTTCCCAAACCGGAATGGAATGAATTACCATGAACCGCAATGAAATATGGATGCAGATATTAATTAGCTTCGGTCCTATCGTAACTACTTCTTCTGCATTTTGCACATGTGAAGTGAAAATAAGCAACAATGGACAACTGTTTCCCCCTGATGAGAGCTCATCACTTTAACATAGCTAGTTGTAAATGTACTGTATGACAACAGGTATATATTTATGTTTGTGAAGATGTATACTGTACATAATCCTTTAGGATGTGTGTTGAGACACATCGACACAATGCCATCTCCTGAAGTATAATAATTGGATGTGAAACTAAATAATATTTACACCGATAGTTTCCTGGAAAAGCATGATCACACATCCTAACCTTCGGGGTATTCCCCTGTAAGACACATACATGTATAAATGCTCGTGTCACCTGACAAAATTAGCTGTATTAAGATGATACAAACCTACTCCTGTCTACATCCATGGGAGTGGCGTGGAGATGGTGGACTCGTACAAGTACCTGGGAGTGCACATCGACGATAGACTGGAATGGTCTAAGAACATCGAGGCCATTTACAAGAAGGGTCAGAGCCGACTTTACTTCTTGAGGAGGCTCAGGTCCTTCAATGTGTGTAGTAAGATGCTACATATGTTCTATCAGTCGGTGGTGGCGAGCGACATTTTCTACGCGGTGATATGCTGGGGCTCTGGGATTAGAGCAGTGGATACTAACAGGATGAACAAGCTCATCAGGAGAGCAAGCTCTGTTATTGGGTCTGGCCTGGACCCCCTGGAGGTAGTGGCTGAGAGGAGAGTGGTGTCCAAACATGGGCATTATGGACAACATCTCCCACCCCCCCTATGACAGGCTTGTAGAAATGAAGAGCATGTTCAGCAATAGACTGATCCATCCACGGTGCGACAGAGAGCACTACAGGAGGTCATTCTTGCCTTCTGCCATAAGAATGTACAACGCATCTACCTTTCATCTGGGCAGAGGCAACATTGATAGTGACCTGTTTCTGGACTGAACAGTAAACTGATACATTTGTTCTTTTTCTTTTCTTGTTTACAACCGTTTTTGTGCAATATATGCCAGGGACCTGTGCAATACATTTATATTTATATTCATATTGTATGAATACGACTTTTTTGTGTACTGTTCTGTTCTGGTTTGTTCTTTGTGTGTTCTGGACTGTGAGTAACTCTTCTTAGTGCACTTCTCACTGTACTGATTGTATTGTATGTATTGTATTATTATTATTGAATCATTCGTTACACTGTGGCTGTGTTGTCTGTGTTAAGCTGCTGTGTCACTGCAATTTCCCTCACGGGATCAATAAAGTATCTATAATGAGCCCCAATTAGAAACAATTCTCCATGGCTCTTAACTTTCACTTTATATGAATAAAAAATGGAAAAAGAGGTCAGAAGACAGTTCCATATCCCAGTGTTTGTGGTCAGATGAGAGTTAATTAATATTTCATATTTAAAAGACACACACAATATTAAAAAAAGTACGGCACAGCACATTAAGAAATTAAAAACATAAAGTGAAAAAAGCTTTAAAAAAATGGTGTAATGTACAAATCTCTAGAAACTAAAGTTTTGCAACTGGAAATCTAATTGCTAATGCCGATTCAACAGGCTATGAAGGTCAAGCGTTGCCAAAAGCAGTTGATCCCTACCAAATATTTGAGCACCTGCAGTAATTGATGTTGAAATTGGACATAACTTGCCTACAAACTGGCCTCAAATTAAAATCACACCTTATGCTGTTTTTATTCTTGGTAGTGCAGCTGCCTTATAATATTTATTGGCTTAGTTTAAATTATCTATATTAATAGATTTTAAATATAATTTTTTATGGGACTTTCTTGATTTGTTTTTATTTTGCACCGTTTGGTTCAACTCCCTCCTAAAGATACTGGCCCTTCTTTATTTAACACACCTGCTATTTCATCTTTTGTGACCAGGACTATGGCCACTAAATGGAATAACAAAGTTCAATTTAAATGAACTTGGGTAATTCACAATTCAATTTAAACTCTTTGTATTACTAATAATGGCAATCTGCAAACTGATGAAGTACTCTGTTTTAACATTAGTCTCTTTAATCAAATTGTGACCTTGCATAGATTAAGTCATCATACTACAGAAGAAGCTATAAAGTGTGGATCTGAAAAAGTTTAATGAGCTGCATTTTGAGTATTGGGATGTGAGGTTTGAAAATGTACAGGAAAGATAACCATTCTGAGCTCTCAAATGTTTTCTCTTTAAGTGACATAATTTGTCATTTATTCTTTGCTGTTTTTTTAGGTTTTGGATAATTTGGATTTCCACAGAAAGAAGTCAGAATATTTCCGATTCCTATGGTTTCCCAATACAGAACATGTCAGAATAATATATCAGGATCGCACAGAAAAGGTATGAAATGTACTGGTTTCCCATGGGGTTGAGAAATGTCCTTTGTCCATTTTCTTTAATGAATGGCTACGAATGAAATGATAAGCAATGTCTGACTAATCGTCTTTTTAAATCCCAAGCAGAATTATGCCTATTAAGTATTTTCACAGACAAGCACAACTCAAACTAATAATGAGCTTTAAATAATAAATGAAAGTGCAATACTGCATTGATTATCAGATACATTCAATATCATTTTTAGCATAAATGGGTATGAAATAAGGGTTATAGTACATATGCAAAAATTCAACATGCACATTGAAATACATTAATGGCTGTTTCAATGCATCAGTATATGGTATTACCTCTCAAAGCAGTCACAATTTTAGCTCATGGGCTTCATGTGTTTCTAAATAGACTGTTATAAAATGTCTCACATTCCTTTTGTGTGGTTATGGTAATCTGGCAAAGGTTTACTGAGTCTTTCTTTCTTCTCCTGACGTTTGCAATTTGAAATGATTTGTAAAAACATTGCCAGAAATTTTCTGTAAGACCCTGATTAGGGCAAAATGTTGGCTATGGTAAGACTTTGATACTGTTTTGAAAAAGAAGCAGTGATCCAAGCACTGTGCAGTCTTAAATTGTCTTCCTGGAAATGTTCTGTCTTTCTTGTTGAAGTAAAAGCTTTGGCTTTTTGTGGGCTCTATGCACTTTTTACTTCAGCTTAACAAACGTTTTTCTCTGCTCAGCATATAAAATACTATGCATAGATGTCTTCTTTGTTAATCATACAACTTACACTGGGAAGAAGTCCATCCTAAAACTAGATAGCACAGCAAAAGATTTTAATCTTTATGCCTTTGTTGACCTTAAATTTGAAATGGGCAGCTTTCCTCTGTGAATGTATATATGAACTTTGTAGAGGTACTATTAGGGAAAAACTTCACTTTGGTATTTGAATCAAAAAAGAGGAGATATCACTAAAAAACAGAGTTTGCCTGATTTAAACAGAATTGATTTTGAAAAAAAGTTATTAAATACGAATTGTCATTCATCAGAATTTCATAAAATTGGGAGTGCTGTTTTAATCTTCATATCCTAGAAGGTTACAATACATAAACTCAAATAATTTGACTAAATGAACTCCTAAAACTTTCATTTACTGATTTAGTTTCTCTCTGGAACATTTCAGTTCATTGAACCACTGAACTGGATTCATTTGGGTGTAATTTTGTGAGAATGTGAGCAAGACTTGAGCTCTAAATCCAATCCATCATTCTATGTCTTCTCTGCTCTTTCGGGGCAAAGTTCACTGAAACTTAGTTCACTCCAATTTGTTTCTTCAGCTAATCTTTGTTCATCTACCAATGCCAGCGAAGATTTCAAGGAAGCTGAATGTGCAAGAGACATTAGTGATGAAAAAAGAGGGATGATTCTGTAGGGTGCAGGCTTTGCTGTGGTCTGCATTGATTGTAAATGGAGCCTTTAAAGGAGCTGTCTGTTTTAGTTTTGGTTGGTATTTATCAGCTCAACGAATAAATTGCACATGGCTTCCAATGTTTTGGGAACAACTAGGGCTCCGTAACAATTAAAAACACCTGCTGTAGGATTGTAGTATGTAGCGTTTCCCTTTTAAATCATTACTTTACTCTTAAAGTCTTAAAATTATTTTCTTCCCTTGGTATTTGTCTACATTGACTTTCATTTGAAATTCAGCCAGCATATTGGATTGACTTTTTTAGTACCCTTAATGATTTTTAAATCTTGAGCTTTTTGTAATCTCCTATTCATGCTGAATTTTTATATCTTCTGTTCAGGCTGAATAATTTGTTTTATGTTTTAGTATGATTAAACGAATTAATGGAATCACTCTATGAATTATCATGGTGACCCAAATTGTACCCATGTACTGTATGTGTCATGTATTAAAGGGTTTGAAATCGAAGTATTCAGAGCTGTGATAAAAATATACATGGAGAATATATTTTAACGGTTTAACTTGATAATACTGCAAATAACAGGGGGTAGTTATAGAATTAGTATGTCTTCTCAGCAGCTTGATTTGTAAGAAAATTAATAGAGGATGATAGTGCTCTCCCTCTATGTTGAGCATGGATAGGTTTCTTCTTCTTCCTATCATAGAGTAATTTCAGAGTAAATGTTAAGGAATAATTTAACAAATGAACTTTTTTTAAGTTGTAAACGTTTTAACAGAGTAAACACAAAACAATCACACATTATTTACAAAATAATGCCTCTCACCACAAAGGTATCTCAGTGAATGATAGATCCCAATACCATCTGAATGAGACAAGCTTAGTAAAGAAAATAATTAGGATAGTTCCCTGTAAAATAGAACACTACTCAGGACAAAACTGCTCTCTAAACTGATGCTAAACCAGAAGGAACCTATCTTTCTATGCCAAATAATGCATCAAAGCAGAAAGGAGGTTTCTCTTAGTTTGTTTACCACAGAAAAAAGGAAAATATTTACCATACTTACCATATTTACCACAATTACTATATAATGAGCTTTCCACTTTATCATCTTTACTTTTGCTGTTTTTGTGTGTTTAATTTAATAGTAGCATTTGTGTTTTCCAGCCTGCACAGTGTACATCCAGCTGGTTCTGGAGCTATGCTGTTGGATATCATCTACTGGAATTTGTCCTTTGGGTCAGGTAGGTGACAAGTATCTTCAGAGGTAATTTTCACCAGGGTTTAAACAGAATATAAAAGATTCCTTCAGTGACGCCCCCACTGCATGTGATGTAGCAGAATCTTTAAAATTGGTGGATCCATGACAATAGACACACAGACATAAGGCTAAACAAATTAAATTTACAGGCTCTTTATTTACATTTCAAGGAAAAACCACCATTAGAGACCAAACCAAAAGAAATACTCCAGACACCTAAGAATGGATAAGTGTACTTCATAGTTTCACATCTCAATGCGCTTCTGTGGTCACTATTTCCTCTAATCCTTCCATTGTGTGAAAAACAACCTTGACATGTGAAGGATGTGCGATTACTCGCCATGCTGATGGCAATATCCAAAAGCTTTAAAACTCCATCCACCAACCAAAACTGCAGATTCCATGAGATTACAGCTGCTAGCTTCTCCACTCTCACAACAGCTAGGGTTTCCATGTGACCTGCTGGACACACTGTATTTTGACAGCCTTTTTAAAACAAATAGCTTAAAATGGATGATTTTGAACCCTAAGCTTGGGCTTTGTTGTCAGAGATTTGATTTCCAGAATGTAATATGCAATCACTGGTGTTAGTACCAATCTCTCACAGCTCTTAAATTTCTGTACTGTCATGTTTTTTCCAGTTTAGTCTTCTTTGCAATATCAGAAGAAATAGAAAAAGAGCAACAACAATAAAAATGAATGGCTTCAGGAAATAGTTTCTTTCATTTCAATTTATGTTAATGAAGGGCAGCCTCACAACAAAAGGAAAATAACCTTTAATTTCTTTTGTTACTGAAATTTGAAGCACTATGTAGGAACTATCATATTTTTGTGATTCTACCGAAAATAAAATAAAACTAAACCACAGACTGATTCCTGCATCACCTTTAGGTTTAACAATATATACATCTGCTGTGCATGAAAAAAAAATTGATTTCACATTTTCATATCTGTTCATCCATTGTACAGGTTGTGATACCCAACCCCACATCTCCTTATTATACAAACAATATGTACAGTACATTCTCAGATTTTGAAGACAAAGACAACAGTTTTAGTTGATTTTGATTGATTGAAACTCGTGGACCTAAAATAGAGAATATCTTACTTATTCCCCTTCTTAGGCAGAGTGGGCAACACAGTGACAATATTTGGTTTGGCTCTGTACACCAGCACATTGGATTTGAAACAGACATTTGCAGCTTGAGCAACACATTGTATTCAGTGAATAGGATATTTGTGTTTGTGTATTAATATTGAGTTTGATTCTATAGCTCTGAGGTCTGAGTTCTGTGATCATCTGGAAAAGAGAAATCATAGGGCATCAAACACCACCAAACATTATGAACATGGTTACATACTATGAAGCTTTCAAGTAAAGGGAGAATAGAGAAAAAAGGGAGAAAAGGGAGAAAAACAACATAGAACCCGTTAACCTGTAATTAACCTATTTCTATTCTTTATTTTAAGTAAATTTTGTAAGAAAATAAATAACTTGATTGATTTTTTTCTTGTATTTTCATAATCCCAAATTGAAAGATCCCCAAGGATAGTACAGCAGTTGGCTTGCAGGAAAAGGCTGTCTGATGTACTGTATGCTTACCTCTTGCTCTTCCCCTCCTTCAAAAGACTAGCATTTCTGACTCACAAGTAATTATAATAATAATAATTGCTCAACACTTTTCTGGACACTCCACTCAAAGCGCTTTAAAGGTAATGGGGACTCTCCTCCATCACCACCAATGTGCAGCCATAGTGCACTTGAACACTCACCACACATCAGCTAACAGTGGGGAGGAGAACAGAGTGATGAAACCAGTTCATAGATGGGAATTATTAGGAGGCCGTGATTGGTAAGGACCAATGTAAAATTTGGCCAGGAAGCCAGGGTTACACCCCTACTGTTTTCAAGAAACGCCCTGGGATTTTTAATGACCACAGAGAGTCAGGACCTCAGTTTTACATCTCCTCTGAAGGACGGCATCTTTTTCCAGTAGAGTGTCCCCATCGCTATACTGGGGCATTAGGACCCACATAGAATGCAGGGTGAGCACACCCTGCTGGTCCCACTAACATCTCTTCCAGCAGCAACCTTAGTTTTTCCCAGAAGGCCTCCCATCCAGGTATTGACTTGGCTCACACCTTTCAAGCTTCAGAGAGTTGCCAGTTGTGAGTTGCTGGGTGATATGGCTGACAGAAAGTAGAATGCTGAGGTGTTAAATCCTCATCCTGAAGTATCTGTGGCTTTGTTTTGAGTAAGATATTCTTGTGATTGTGCTTTATAGAAAGATTTATGTGATATTTATGTGATCTGTTTATGTGATCCATCTCTTTCACATTTCACATTTTGTATTTTGTATGGTTCTGTATTTTTGTGCAAATAAGCTTTGTTCTTTAAAGACATTGCTCATGATTAAAGAGTTCAGAATGAATGGAGACAGGACTTTCATAACATGACCCTCACCAGAAAAACAGGCCAGAAAACTCCATTTTAATTAATCTCTAATTTTCTTTAAATGTCACAGCATATATTGCAATCTTAACAGTTTTTAAAAAGTTTTTCAGACTCATTAATTTTAAAGGCCTGCTACAGCCGCAGGTTATTGAAGATTTATATGAAGCTGGCAGCAGAAACTTGGACATTGGCACAGGTGGGATGACAAGCAAACATTGTGAGGAGATCTAAAACTACATAAAGTAATTGATATTGTCATACTGTTGTTATGTTTAAAAATTGCAGTATAAAGGAAATACAATGGGGACCTAATTCTTTCATTCTGATGTTGTTGTAAAACAAAACATAAAATGATCTCTTAATTGTGAAAATGCTTTCTAGTAGTACTTGTTTAGTAGTACTAAGCTTTTGTAAGTACTAAGCTACCATATTTTGTTTTCTTGTTTCTGCAGGATTGATAGTTAATTCATTAAAACAAACTTTAACTTTTCATCTCACGTGACGAATACAGAGTACAGTGGAGTGGAGGTTGGCATTGCTACTCAGGGATCTTGGATTTGATTCCAGCTTTGAAACCCTGTGTGGAGTTTAAATCATTCCCCCATGCATGGGGGTTTTTCCCACGGTAAATTCCCAAAGAAATGCAGGACAGGTCTGCATGAAAGCTTGGTGATTTCTGCTAAATCATATAATATATAATTTGCCTCATCAAACAGAGGCTGTGGGACTGCTCACTGCTGTCTTCTGTATGATACTGAGGATGTAAATCATGCTGGAACAGTCTGTAAAGAAAATGCCTGGATGAAGGATGGGGTAACCACAGAAATCTCATGCTGTTGGTATTTAGTTTGCTGAGTTGTTTCTAAAATGGAAAGGTTTCACGCAGGCTAAGAAAAGAAATGCTCACAAAAAGGCAAAACAAAAAGAATAACTTTTGAGTGAAGGATTTGTTATTACTTCCCAGAGGCGAGAAATATGTGAAGCACTTTATCATTTGAAAGAAAATGTCAGGGAATTCTGCCAAGTGAAACAAGCATGCAGTGCCCACAGTGACTTATGTAGTGGAGAAACGGTTAAGCTGCTGGAAGACGGACTAGTATTGCTGCCCATCATTAATCCACCTGATTACCAGCGTTATCACATTTTCTTAAGGCTTCATATCTGTAGATTATTCTTTTTCTTTTCATAATCATATGACCCATTAGTAAACAGCACAATTCCTTAGCAAAGTTGAAAAATGGCTCAATATTATTTGCACTAAAAAACCATACTGTATATGCACAACAATACACTACAAATAGTAATTCGCTTAGTTCTGTATGCCGGTAACACCACCCCCAAAACCCTTAGAATAAAATAATAAAGAACAAATACCAACCACAGTTTTTAGGAAGAGGAGTTAAGAACATAAGAAAGTTTACAAACAAGAGGAGGCCCTTCAGCCCATTTAGCCTGTGTGATAAGTTATCCCTATAAAACGAATCTTGGAAATTGCTTTGCACTGTTTGGTCCAGGCTTGCATTAATCTGGGCTCGTAGATCTCTTTCTCTGCAGGTGTTCATTGTCTGTTATTCAAGAAGTCAGACTAACTGAGTTCATCAGAGTTGAGGACAATGATTAATTCCAACAAACATTTTACAACTAAGTACCATTCACTTAATTTCTGTCCCCGTAAAAATACATAAAATTGGATGATTATGTCTCTCTCACTTAGCTGGATTAAGTGAAAAATGCATTATGTTGATCCCCTGAACCCATTTTCTACATATTACTTGTGTTAAGAAATCAAATTCCTTTGATGCTGGCTTGTGTTATAGCTCCATGATGTTTTTTTCAGAAGAATGGAAGCTGTTAGGATTTCTTTTTCCAACTCTCAGGGGAATATTATACAGTATGTTCAGAGCACATTTCTCTGAGACACTCTGTTATTTATGCTTCCACTGCATAAATGATCCATAGATTATTCCTGTTTTTTTTAACTCAGGTGTTCACTTTTTCTGTACTTAGTTATTATCCTTTTTGTATCTTTTAAACAGCAGTACAATGTAATAAAAGTGAAAAATATTGGGTGGCAAGGTACTTAACCAGGAAAAAGCTACAGTATCTTCTGATATAAAACTATGTGAAATAAATCATGTAATATTATCTATTCACTTGGTACCAATTGTTGGGAAAATGTTCCAGTTCAGGCATTGCATATAAATCTGCTAAGCTGGATGTTTTTATTGTGGTAATACAAATTAGTTCTTTAGGTTCATCATGATTTTTAATGTCAAGCCCTTTTATCAAAGTCTTAGTCAGCATAGACATCAGCACTTCCCAGCTCTTATTTTGCACTTCTAATTTATTTGTAATAAAATGAATTAAACCTCATCCTATGAGATCCATCTAGCTGTAATGGATTCTATTGATTCTTTTATTCTCAATTAAAAGTCTTTATGGTAAGGCCGGGTATCAGAGGCTAGGACCAGTGTGTAAAAAGGAAGGTGTTTTTGGGACATATTCAACATATTTTAGACTTTTACTTC